CCCGGCCCCCCGCCGCGCCGCCCCACCTTCATGGCGCGGATCGCCTCCCAGGCCTGGCGCACCGAGCCCACCGCCTCGTAGCGGCTCTGCTGGGGCAGCAGCAGCTGGTCGAGGATCTGCAGCGAGCCCCGCGAATAGCGGATCGCCTCCAATGTCATGGTGCGGCCGCCGAGATCGCCGCCTCGCCACGCGCGCAAGAAACCGTGCTCTCGCCGGCGGGGCCGAGCCGCGCGCAGGGGCGGGGCGGGGCGCAGGGGGCGGAGCCAGGGGCGGGACCAATCCCGGGCGGAACCAATCCCGCATGCGCACGCAGACACGCAGCGAACCACGCAGGTTCCCGTAACCCGCCGTCCACGTAGCCGATTCCATCCGCGTCCCGCCTCCAAGCCCAGAGGACCCACAGTTAGCCTCCTCCTCGGAACCATCATTTATTATGCGCCTCCTTGATACCGGGCTGTGTGTTCAGCGTCCGGCTGACCGGAGTCAGGGGTGCATCCCCAGTGACGACATACAGGCGTTCAATCCGTATTTGTTAAATGATTCTCCAGGGCTGAGGGGAGCTGGGGTGCGTCCGGCGCCCCCTGATGGATGCACGACAGTTTCTGGGCCATTTTCTGTCCAGCTTGCTTCAAGATAAGTTACCATGCTGGGGCCTTTTCCACGGGCGTCCCTCTCGGCTGAGGACAACAGCTCACACCTGCACGCGGCAGCCCCGATACCCTGGGCACCCCACGTGCCTCGCCCCTGGCCTACCCTGTGTGGTTCCTGCTGCCCAGCACCCTTTCCACCCTTCGCGCTTAGCCCGTGCCGCCTCCTCCAGGAAGTCTGCCCTGATTCCAGGCCAACTGGAGCCACTCACTTGAAGGCCTCATCGCGCTGGGCGGGAATCACGTCTGTGGCCACAACTGTGGCTGCATCAGCATTTGCTGAACGAGAGGCCCCGCCGAGCTCAGTTGGGTGGAGGGAGAGGGAGGGTAGCCGCTGGCCCCATCTAGTAACCCGAGGCAGGGGCAAAGAGGGCTTTAATGTCAAGGGCTCACAAGGCACAAACACCCTCACCAGGACCAAATAAATAACAACTCAAGGCAGGTCTGGGGAGGGGAGCGGCGTCTGAGCTCTCCAGGGGCTGCTGCGCGAGCCGGGGTCTGCAGTCTGCGCGGCGCCTCCTGGATGTGTCACGGCCTCTGCAGCGGGTCCAGTCCCGGAATCACTCACTCTCCGAGTCCGAGTAGTCGGCCACGAGCGAGGAGCTGACGGCGCAGGGGTGTGGCCTGTCTGGGGGCTCAGCTGCCTCCTGGGAGGAGCCTGGTGACGACAGGGGCTTGTCCTGGCAGCTCCCCTCCTGCGCACTTGTCTTGGGGGTCTTTGCTGGCTCCTGAGGACAGTCTCCAGGGGACGTGGGCCTGTCCTGGGCAGTCCCCTGTGGCACCTGAGCTTCTCCAGACTTGGGGGTCTCAGCCGCGTGCTGGGGGCTCTCGGGGACATCGCGTGACCTCCGCCGCACGATGCCCAGGTCCCCCACCGTGATGGGGGAGCCGGCGGGCGTGGGTCTCCGGCCCTGGGCCAGCTTCTTCAGGACGCTGCCAACTTTGCTGCTGGGGCCCGATCCCGGGGCGGAGGGGAACCAGGAGCGGCTGATGATCTCCGTCCGCTTGAGTTTTTGCTTGTCCTCGTAGGCTGCAGGGGACCAGAGGACATTTGAGGGGGGCAGGTTAGGAGGTCCGGAGCTGCCCTCGGCCCTGGCCTGTCAGCGTCCACTCGTGGCTGGGGAGCCCCCATCTCTCCCCCAACCCCTGGGAGCCTCCCTGCCCTGTGGCCCCCCACGCACAGTCCAGGGTGTGGAACTTCAGCAGGGCGGCCAGCCGGCGGTCGTCCTCTGTCTCGGGCACCAGCGGGATGGTCAGGCTCGCCTTGGCCTGCAGGGCCTGGTCTCTCTCCTCCTCCTCTTGGATGGCCTTTTTCTTTTCCTGTGTGTGGGGAGAACAGCAGGGGGAGGGAGGGGTGTGTCAAAGCCCGGCCTCTTCTGTGTCCTGAGGGCCATCCCTTATGTCAGAGAAGGGCCTCACACACAGCCTGGGACACAGAAGTGGGGGCCGGAACTGCTATGGGACAGATGCGGCGGCTGGGGTTATAAAAGGCAGTCAAAGCCGACTCCAGGCTTTGGGGCCTGCATGCCCCAAAGGAAGGGGCTGCCTCTGTGGAGAATGGGGGTACAGGCAGGGTAGGTTAGAGATGGATCAGCGTTTGGTGGGATGTTAAATGTGAGGGGCCATAGACCTCCCATGTGGCGATGCCCAGAAGGGAGGGGACACACAGCTCAGGACAGAGGCCTGGCTGCAGGGATACCCTTTCGGTAACAAATAATTAGTGAGAAAACCAGCAGTTTTAGTCCTATCACTGATGACCACAGAATGATCAGAAAGGGAGACAGGAAAAACGGGAGTGGTGGGATGGTGAGACTAGAGTTTGTGCCCCGTGCTGGGGCCCAGGACGCCCCCGCATGGGCTCTGTGCGCAGTGCCCAGCAGCGTGAGTGAAGAGGGACAAGTTCCTCATGGCCTGCAGGACGACACCCTGGAGGGTGACACCCCCTTTATGTGATACTCTGTGAGTCAGGCCCGGACTCATCCTGACGGAGCTTCACCAAGTGTTTTTGCCTCAACGTTGGCAGCCATTGTGGTCACTCTCAGCAATGCCCTGGGGCGGGGGGGGGGG